ATTTGAAACTGTCTCATTGCTATTTGTCTCCCAATAAAATTATGAAAAAATTAGATTAAGAGAAAATTACTTTTTACATAAAGTAATTTAATATTTGTTCTCACCTAAAAGCTTTCTATGTTTTATATGCTTTTAAAAATATCTGTTCATGTATTTATTTCTTCATCATGCAATTTACACTCTGAGTTCAATATAAACAATGTTCAGAAGTTCAAGATAACTTTGGCTATTCCATACATATAAGGCAAAAATAACAAAAGCACAGTTTATATTACTTATTTTAACAAAAAGAATGTCACACTTGAACTAGGGACACTCATAGTTTTAATTTTTGCATAGAGAATTTTAAACAATTTAAAAGGACCAAGTCAGTACCAGATTGCTTAAATAAAAGTAAAGAAACACAATAAAACATCTCAATAATTTTATTTTAAAATGACACATTTGCTATTACCATATAAGGCATCAAATGCTGTAAGAAAAGCTTAAAATCTTAATAATTGGCTTTTTAATATAAAAACACAGTCCTCATCACATTTTTATTTGGCAAGAGAAACAGAACCAAAAGCAGGATAACCACATGAAAACCCTAAATATGCTAGACACACATAACTGCCCTTGCTTTCTTTCATGAGATTTGTTTGGAGCCTGGCTAGGAAGCACAAAGATGGCAGTGGGAAACAGGCTGGCCATTTCCAAAACATACAAGAGTTACCAGAACTTGGAGCAAAGGAATGCACTGCCCGCTTTTTCCCATAATAAAGCAATAATTCACAGCAAAATAATTTCTAAATATGCCACAGTCTTATGAGCCTGAAATTGAAAGGTTAAAAAAGTACATCAATCAACATTTGTGGAGAGCTGCACAACCACCACAGATTTCTGTAACTGTGGTATCTTATTCTGTGGTTGATTACAAATTCTTTATTCATGACCTGGGAAAGACTTGTTTTTAAAGTCAACATTAAGGTACACCAAATTCCTATAAGAAAATTATTCCAACAACAGCTTTGGAATATTAAAGTCTTATGGCTATAAAATATATCCTGATACATTTTTAAAAATTGCATATCAACGGACATAAACGATGAGTGTACTCTTTTAAGTGGAAACCATGGATTTCTGAAATCTGCTTCAAGTGTTTTATCATCTTTCTTTTTACAATACTAATGTTCTAGTTAAGTAAATTACTCCCCAAGAAGTATATTATAAAAGTAAGGAGAGAGTATTATGGAGTATTGTATGAACCATAAAATAATATAGCTGAAAAGTAGATGAAAGGCAACAATATATTAATCATCTATCTTACGAGCTATTGTATACCACAAAAAAAAAAAATCAGTGAGACTTGATTTTAATACTTATTGAAATAATTCTTTATGTTTAGCTCTGGGGAAGGTTACATTACAGAGAACTAAGGGTCTGCTTTATTCCTTCCTTGCACTGGAATCTAATTATGATAGTAAATCCTCCTGGAACAGGTAAACTGCTGGCAGAGATTGTGACTCTTACTGGTCAGACCAGTTTTTGGAAGCATTAATTACTGCAATGGAATCTAACCTTAAAATTGAAGATCCTTCTCCTAACATTCACAGAATGGTATCTCTTTAGGGATGATTAATCCAGGTATAGTGTGTGTCTGTGTCTGTGTGTGTCTGTGTTTCCTGTATTTACGACAGCGTCTAAAGGGTCTCACTGCGTAGATCAGACTCATAGTGATTCTCCTGTTTTCAGCCTCTCAAGTGCTGGGATTACAGGTGTGCACCACGCCCAATCTCAATCGCTGTCTCAGCGCACCCCCATGGGGCGGCTGGCACTGCATGCTGGGAATCGAACCCTGGCCGCTCTGCTATGCCTAAGCAGGTGCTTTAATCCACTGAGCTATCAGGCTGGCCCTAGCTTTTGTTTTTACCACTGCACATGTGAAGGATGGTCAAACAACTCTGTAGAACTCTTGCCTGTCCCGACTTGGTAAAAAAAGAGCCCCTTATGTTAACCCTTAATTCCTGATATATAACTGGCATGGTGTCCATTCACTCATTTGACCTCACCAGGGTGCATAAAGAGAATACAAAATGATTTTAGTAGAGTGCTTTCTTTGTTTAAATTTGCACCTCAAAATACATGTTCCATCACTGGTTCAACTGGGTCTCCACAATAGGTAGATTTGAGGGGATGGACTCTACTACTTTAAGCAGATAGCGAAGCTGATCAAGGCAAGTGGCGAGGTAGCACAGAACAGAGGTACCCAGCAGTCATGTCTGTGAAAGCCCACCACACCCTTCCTGCTTCCAAGCAGCCCTGTACTCTGCGGAACCACACATAGCTCTCTGCGGGGAAGCCTTTGGAAAAGACATCCTTCATGTGAAAGACCAGTACATCACAGGACACAGTCTTCTTCAAGAGCTTCCAACAGCTGGCAAGGACTGCAAAGCATGGTGCAAATTGTACTGTCGTTTAAGGTGTCCTAAATAGGCAGTTTTGTATAGACATTAAGAAGCTTGAATTGTCCACTAGCAGCGTGTAGAACTCAACAGCAAGAAAGACAGCTTGTTTTCTGGACCTCATCTGGCTGAGGCATTAGCTGTATTCTCACTAACCTTAGGAAGAAACAGTGAGATGAGATTTTTGAAAACAGGCAAGCAACCCTAAGGTGCGAACTTCTGTAAGTTCTGCTTTTTCACAGCTGGTCATAACAACACGTGCAGACAACAGATGTAAGGCCACAAGTCTCCACGCAGGTTCCTAGACCAGCACTACAGCTGGTGGTCCTGCAGTGTCTGCAGCATTTCTCACATGCTCTGGCCAAAGTACTTTTATTGCCAAAACACTCTGCATCACACCGGAAACAATGGTACTTAAAGCTGTAGGATTTTGTTGGTCTAGCTACCTTCATTTTTAAAATTAAGTAACCTTCGTTTCAATTCAGGTACCAGCTACTCAAACTAAATATATATCAAAAGCTAAATAAGAGAATTATCCAAATTACAACCAAAAGCCCACAGGAGTCACCTGGCTAATTTTCCGAACTAGGCCATCATTAGAATGGTCTGTGGTCATAAAAGCTAAGTCTTGAAAGAGCTGTGCTATATATTTTAATGAATTTAAATAACGTTACTGAAATAAGAATTTAATTGTTAACTCAACTTTCACTTTTAAATTTTTTTTTTCTTGTACCCTGAATCCAGCTTAAGACCTTGCACTTGCTAGGCAGGTGCTGTCCTGCTGAGCTAAATCCCTGGCCCTCAACTTTAAATCTTAAGGCAAGTTTTACAAAGTTCTCAAAAAGAAAAAAGAAATATTCTCAAAGGTTAACTCCCCTCCCAACTTAAATATGTACATTCTTTTCCTAAGTAGCTTTCAATGTTAACTTTAGATCACATCCCCAAATTTGGTAACAAGATTCATTGAACACTTGCAAGTGACATACATTGGCTTCTCTCCCTTATCACCAATTTTAGAGACTTGAAGACTTTATACTGTGTCATCCCATGATAGCTGGGCCATATATTAATTCAGTTTAATCTCCTATTTGTCTAATGAATCCTGCTTCACTATTAAACAGTGAAGCTTTGTCTGATTCACTATTAAACAGAAACAAGATGCAGTTGGTCTCGCTTGTGCTCTCTGAATAAACATGTAGATTTTACAACTTTTGTTTTTAACCTACACCTACTTGCTAATGCAGGCAGATTGTTTCCTTCCTGCCTCAACCTCATCCAATGCAGCTTCTCATGTAGGCTAGAACTTGACAATTTATTTTTTATTTTTTTAGTGTCTGGTTTTTTTTGTATTTTATGGGGGAAAAACAAAATTTCAAAACAAAGTAAGAGAATAACAATAGTTAATATGTTACATATTGTAATCTTCAAAGTAGTGACTCAGAGTACAAGATGTGGGCATAAAAAAGTCTCCAAATGATATAACTGGACAGTTTATAAACCTTCAGGACATAAAATTTATATGCTGGTAACGTGGTCTCAAAGGAAAGCAGGACCTATGAGTCATAGTCAAACTAAAAGTTAATCTAAAAAGCACAACGAAGCAGCTATGAAAAACACAAATCACTTCCTCCTGAATCTTTCACATACCGCCGCAAACCCGCCCTTTTCGCACTTCAGTTGGACACCCAGGAACACAGTACCCAGCCCACCAAATGGGTCTGACACCAAGTATTTGCTCACATAAAAGCCTGACTCCCACACTCTCCCAGTGTTCACGACAACACAAACTCAAGATTTAGCATTAAAGTGATGACCCCTACGTGTGAGATGGGCACACTGAGGAAGAGGCCCATCCTGCAAAGCATTTCTGAGGCTGCATCCCTGGGTCTTATTAATGACCATCCACTGGATATGTGACCACACTGCTCAGCTTATCCCTTCTAGGCCAGGGAATTCTACCTTAGGAGGCTACAGCACAGTGACTGAGGAGCACACACATACGGTGGCCAGAAAGATGCATGTCATCTCTTGGAGGCACTCTGGTGGGGGGCATCGCTCCCCCTGAATGGGTGTTTAGGCTTTCTCTTCTAATTGCAATATCTTGGCTGGAGCATAAAGAATCCTGTGGCAATGGCTAGTGGCAAGCAACACAGCCTACCAGGCAAGGGCCCAAGAGTCTAGCTGCAAGTACTAGAGATTTCTGCCAAAAAACCACAATGAAACACCACATGGGAGCAAGCCAGAGCCAACCATGACTCAGACTTGTCTCGATGGGCAGATGTCTGGAGGTGTATCCTAAGTCTCAAGCTTTGCCCTTCTGGTGTGAGAAGTGGCAAAGACTTCAAAAGCACAGATAGCCAGGATGACAAAACCACAAACAGAAATTGATTTTGTAACAGCAACTACTTTTACTACACTCAGAAAAAGGGCGTGGGACACTGCAAGTATGTAGCACTAACACTGGGGGTTATTTCATACTGGTCTTAAGATGATTTATATAGTTTTCTTTTATTAGAATGTTTACTTTAATGACATAGTGGCCATTACTGAATACAGGAATGATTTAAATATAACATTTTAAATATAACATTTAAAAAAATAATCAACATTCTCAAGTTTCAAATATCCACACCTAGACATCTGTATTTTACTATTTGGCCAAACTGCAACATGAAAAACCCAGCAAGAAAATGGATAAGCACCTCTGAGAATTAATGTGTGCTTTGCTACGTGACTCCAGTTTATTTCTCACAGAATAGACTGCTAAACAACCCATTATATGTACAACTTCTGCCTACTCAAAGCATACTATACCATTGTTTTCTAAAAGAAATCATTGGTATATTGGGTCATTAGAATCGTTTTGCTACACACATAGAAGCTCATGGCCATTACAGACTGTTTACAGCTCTCAGAAACTGAGGTGTGGCTTCTTATGCATTTTACATGATTTTTCTTCTAAAGAGAAGATATTCAAGAGAACAAGAAACCACTTGCTGCTTGTTGATCTGTGAAATAAATTGATTTTGCTTAGCAAGTAAGTCACACTATTAATTTTAGGAAACAAGTTTTCATATAAAATGTCAAGGTAAACTCTCACAAGTGCAGTCAGTTAAGTCTGTACAACAAGAGCATCTTCCTCTACCAAGGACAGCTCCAGAGTGTTCTCCTTAGTGCTGCTTTTCCTTCTGAAGCTGAAAGAACCATAGAGTTGTGCAGACTCTTTGGAAGAGGCAAATCGGCTTTGGCGATAAAGCTCTCCTTTCCACACAGACATCATCAGCAAGCAGGACAGAACGACGCCCCCGAGTGTGAGGAGGCAGAGCCCTGCAATCACACAGCGGTCCAGGTGAGCCCCCAGCCGTGCACTCTCCTTCTCCAGGCGCTCCATCTCCCGGGCTGCCACTGCGCTGGGATCCACAGTTACCTCCCGTGGGATGATGTACGAGATGATCACCAGCAAGATGCCAGTGACTAAGAACAAGATGGCACTAATGAAACCATAGTCCACTGACTTCCCTGATGAGGTGCCTTCTGAACTTGTGTCGTCTTCATCTTCAGATATTAAGGATATGGCAGCCTCGTGGGACCATTCACTTGGATTTCCCCAGCCAAGGTCTCCAGGGCAATTATTCTCTTTTGCTGAAGGGGCCCAGCAGGCTCGCTGCTCCAGGTTGACATTCTCATCCACATAGGTGAAAGAAGTTTCTACCTCATGGCTGCAGCACTGGCAGACTTTCCGTTCTGATGTCACGTGGCTGTTCCCAGGAGGTCCTGGGAAGAAGGAGAGCTGAGCAATACTATCCTGCTGGGAGGGGGAGAGGGGGTCCCGGGAAGGGTGAGGTCTAGACCCTTCCATTACAGCTGCTCTGGGGACAGACTTGCAGTACTGCTGACAGCACAGAGCAGCTCTGCTGGCGGCTGCCTCTTTCTGGTCCCCAGGAGGTCCTTCTGCACCCCAGTCCCTGATGCCACACAGCTCTGCCCGGCTGCTTTCCTTAGCAAGGCACTGGAGCTCCATAGAGCTAGGTAGGCAGCCCCCAAACTTCTAGGTGTTGCACCAGCAGCAGCACAGGAGGGACCCAGCGCTGCTAAGGCAGACGACGCAGTGCCAGCAGGTCTGCTCTCAAGGGCCCCATTTCCACTGCAGTCACTGCAAGGGCACCTCTGCCCAATTCCTCCTAAAAGGAGCCAAAGAAGGGGAGATACCCAGCGGCAGGAAAGTGTAGAAAGGGCAAATCATCCGATTTGTCACAGGGTTAAAACTGACAAGACAAAAGAAGCAGGGAGGAAGTGGCAGGATCTGTGGAGAAAGCGCACTACAGTCATCAAGCCAAATTTATCCAAGGTCTCACACATTCCGGTGACAGGATCCTCAAAGGAGAGAGCAGGTTTCTGTAGACAGACAAAAAGCAAACAGGCAAAGGCACCTTTTAGCAGAACTGCTGAGAGGACTTGAGGACCTGAAGCACAGGCTTGCTAATAATCCAATTACACTGTGTTTATACTGTGCTCAGAACAGATCCTAATAGAGACGGGTTTTAATGAATATATGCTCCTATCAGCTGGGTCCCAGTGGGGCAAGAGCTCAGTGTCTTAACTCAGCAGCTCTGAGGTGATGGACAAAGGTGACCACCAGCCACCTGCTCAAGGCTCTGGGACCTGCACTCCCATATGCCCGTCCCCAAGGGTGCAGCCAGCACTTCACGATGACCTCTGCATCACGCCATGCGCAGCCGCTCCACACACACACTTTCCGCTCCAGCGGCACGTCTGCCATTTCCGCTCACCAAGTTTCTCTTTTTCCCGAAGGCTTGCTAATTAACAAGCACAATAAGTTGACCATTCAGGAAATTTTACACACCGGTCTAGAAGGAGGCTGACAACTAGACTGATGACAAACCCACAGAGTCGGGTGGAGGCAAACAGGTGAGACGCTGTTTCCAAGGTTACCTCTGGGCACTCATCCTGGGCTCACCCCCACCCTACCGCCAGTGTGGGTTTCGGTCCATCAGAAAGCCAGCTGCCCCTCTTTGCTGCCTCCACCACCTTCTGAGGAACGAAAGCCACTTCGCACTGGCGCCGCATGCTGAGTTTAACCAAAGGCCCCTGTAACTCTGACTCCAAATCCGGGTGAGCACTGACCCTAACCCCCGGCATGCTGCGTATTATCTTCAGAATGCACAGCCCCGACGGGGGCGGGCTGGCCCAGGCCCCGAGGTCACCCAGCAAGTCACTCCGAGGGCTGCAGAGGCTGCTTGTTTTTATCTTTAAAACACTTGTCTTCTATTATCACACTTTCTCTGCGCCCAAAACAGAAGAACCACCCAAAGCACAAGGTGCAGGAGCACCACGACCCAACCTTCCGCGGCCAAGGCGGGGTGTGCGCACAGGACGCTCAGCCCGAGGCGCGGGGCAAGCACCCCGCGGCCCCAGGCGGTCCGGTCACTCGACGCCGCCCGGCTCTCCCGGGTCCCGGACGACCGAGGGGAAGCGAGCCGTCGCCCAGCCCTCTTCCGCCGCCGGCGTGCGGGGCTGTGCGGTTCCGGCGGCTCCGCCGCGCGGTCCGGTGCGGCGCTCGCACTCTGCCCTCCGCGGACCCGGACTGGCGTCCGCCGCCTGCGGGCCGCTCCCTCCCGGCCGCCGCGGCTCGCCGCACTCACCTTCTGCCTCCCACCGCGGAACGGAGGAGGCTCCGCTCCTCCCCGGGACTACGACTGCTCTCCACCCCACCCGAGAGAGGCCGAGAGAGCCGGGCGTGGCGGGGCCGGGGCGGGGCCGTGGTGGGCGGGGCTACGCGGGCGGGGCCGGGCGGGGCGCTCTCCCGCCGAGCATCCTGGGAGTTGTAGTCCAGGGCTCCAGGCATCCCACCTGGCCCCACCTGGCCCCACCTGGCTCGTAGAGGTCTCTCTGCACCGCAGACCGCGCCTACATTTGAGAAAGCGCTGACTTCCCTGCTGACTTGGAGTCCTGCAAATTCAAGGGTGCCACAGAATGAGTCAGGATATTTTGGTGGAACCGGGCAGGCCCTTGCGCTTGCCAAGGAAGTGCTTGTTCCACTGAGCCATCTTCTTGGCCCGAGGAACTGGTTAGAAGCAATGTATATTTAGTTCCAACAGTTTGCCAGGTAGTTTGCACATTTTGTCTTCATAGTTAAAAACGCATTTTCAAAGATGTTATTAAAGGAGCTGGGGAGATGGCTCAGTGGAATAAGCGCTTCCCTGGCAAGCACGAAGGCCTGAGTTCAATCCCTGGTTCTGCAAAAAAAAACCAAAAAAACCCCCCAAAACCTCAAAGATGTTATTAAGCCTCATTTTCCAGAGGAGGAGGCAGCCTCTGAGAGATCAGGGACCTCCTGCAAGGTTATAGCAGCAGTACTGGCCACTTCTACGATGGCATCCAGCAATGTGGCTCCAAAGCCATTGACTGGCCCACAGATCAGAGAAAGGTGACCCGGACGGGGGGGGGGGGGGGGGGGGGGACTTTCCTTCCACCGAGTCACTCTGCTTAGTGCGGTATCTGGGATCTGTGGGATGCGTCAATAATAATTATTCAAAACAACGCCACAAGTACATTTGCTATTGCTGTGCTTTTCTCAGCATGTTAGGTGAATTAACGCATTTAAAGACCACAGTTACTTTTGAAGCTACTGTAAAATCCTCATGTTTATAGAGGAAAAAATGAATTTTAAAAATTCTGCCTAAATCGGGGCTGGAGAGATGGCTCAGTGGTCTAAAGCACCTACTTGAAACAAGCTTGGCAAAGCACAGGGACCGCGGTTCGATCCCCAGCACCACATGCCAGCCAGCCCCGCCTCCTGGTGGGCTGAGCTGGCCACACACACAATAAATAAATGTAATAAATGAAAATAAATAAATATTAAAAAAAAATTCTGCCTAATATCACACAGCTTGGTATTTAGCAAAGGTGGGGCAAGCGCAGACAGATTCTCAGCTCAATCCTTTATTTTCCAAATCGAACAGCGGAAGCCAAGGGGTACTGAGCACTGTTGACGTCACCACGCAGGGATGCCATTCTTCTGGGTCTCCGCCCGCTTTCGCCCAGTGTGAACTGCATCAGTCACAGCTAGAGGCCCAGGGAATGTGTAGTTTAGGGTTCATCTCGACTTAGCATCTCCTTCGGGGTGAGTCTAGGGTCACTGACTATTTTTATCTAAGGGGAACACACACACAATTCCATTATTTATGGCATTTTGCTGCTTGTAAGTAGCTTCAATAAATTCTCCAGATTCTTGTTTTCGTTGTTTGTCTTTCCTATAATGAAAATTGTATTGCTTTTCCTTTATATTGGATAGTGGTCATAAGCTCATGATTCCAGGGACTTTACAACCCATTCCGGTTATTTTTTCCCCCCTATGGCTCTGTCTCTGACTTTCTTCCTTTTACTCCTCTTTTTCTCCCTTTCTCTCTCACTCCCTCTCAGGTTTGGTGAGACTGGGTCTTGCTGTGTAGTTCAGGCTAGCCTTAAACTCACCCAAGCTGGACTAAGACTTGAGACAATCCTCCTGCCTCAGCCTTACGAGTGCTGGGATTACAGGTGAGCACCATCACACCTGGCTCTTCCAGTGTTTTTCACTTAGCCAGTCAAAGCTGTTTATTTATGACATGTGTATTATGGTAGTTCTTCAGTCTAAGAAACTACTTACCAACAGTAGAATGGAGACATAAGTGGTAGAATATTTATACATTGGAGTAGTATATAATGTGTGAACTATAGTTGTATCCAAAATGGATCAGTCTTACCATGTTAATTGTTGGGTGGAGAGAAAATTATTTTGTGTTCATGCACATTTGGGTTTTTTTTTTTTTTTTTTTTTAAGCAAACTATATGAAATTGAGAATCCTGTGCTAAGAGCAAACCTAGAAGCTGGGTTACAACTCCATAGATAATGAACTGTAAAGAGCATGGTCTTAACTCGAGAAGTACTGACTTCACAGGTAGGGATTTCAGTGGAATAAGGTCCAGTGTGGGAGCCCAGATGGGAACTGAGGCCTAGTTGGCTTCCTCTGTGACATTCAAAGGAAAAGTTAAGGCCGGCCACATAGCTCAGTGGATTAAAGCAGGGACTGGAAGTTCAACCCCCAGGACTGCTGTGCAGGCTCCGCCCCCAAGGTGACCTGAGATGGCAATTGAGACTGGGCGTGGTGGCATGAACCTGTAATCCCAGCTCTTGGGAGGCTGTAAACAGGTGGATCACTATAAATCCAATCTAGCAGTGAGACCCTGAACACCCTGTAGACCCTTCCCTAAAATACAAAAAAAAAAAAAAAGGAAAAGTTAATACAGCTGAGCTCAGGTTGTTTACCTGGACATGTACTAATGGGTGATGGAAGGCAGATGCGGCCTGCGTTACTTTGCTTGTGCCTGTGTTTGGGTGAATAAAAGAAGGAAAAGCCAGCCACTTGGGGCTCCTCTGCCTCCTGGAGTCCAGAGCCCCCTGGCTGCCTGTTTGCTAGACTATATCTTTCATCCTCCTTCACCACAGGTCAGGGGAACAAACTAGCAGGACAAGGCCCTTACAAGTGGTGCCTGGGTGGGACAATTCTGGAGTGGGCTGGTGCCCCGAGGGTGGTGCCTGGGAGGGACCTGGAGTCAGTTTAGAGAGATTTGTTACAATCCAGGATCTTAGAGCCTTTGCAAGGTTGAAAGGGATGGTGACAACGGAGTTTATTTGGCTTTGGGGAAGTATATTTATATTCCGGAAACTTTAGTTTGAGGACCCAGGACTTTTACAGCCAGAGAGCAAAGCTTTTTTTTTTTTTCTTAGGTAAGGGTCTACAGGGTCTACAGGTCTCACTACATACATTGGATTCATAGGGATCTGCCTGTGTTCAGCCTTCCAAAGAACTGGGATTTTAGGCACATGCCACCACACCCAGTCTCAATCGCTCTCTCAGCGTGTTTTTTTTTGTTTGTTTAACTATCTTTTTGGGAGCAGAGAAGGCAGCATTCTGTTACTTTTGCATAGAAGCAGATGACATCAATTTTTCTCTATTTTTC